TTCTGCACTTGACCCCAGACCTCCCTTGCTTCCCCAGAGATGACAGTGGGTCTTCATCAGGCCTTTCAAAAAGGCGCCACCTTCGCTACCACAGAGCACAACCGCCCACAACACACGCGCTAAGTGGTACCAGTGCTATTTTTAAGACCTTCAGACCTCCTCCTGCCACGGCCTTAGTTCAGGCCTCACCACTTCTCTCCTGGACCCCGTGCCTGTTTTATAGCTTATCTTGCCCCTCCAATCCACCTGCCACCCAGCACTCAAAGCAATGTTACAATTGGGACATGTTTCTGCTTTGCTCAGAATACTTCAATGGGTCCTCAACACCTTCAGGTTCAGCTAAAAATTTCTTGGCGAGACCATTTAAAATTGGCCTCTGCTCACCTCTGCTCACTGCCTGAGGCTCCGCCTGCCCCGCTGGCCCTCTCTGCAGCCCCTGACCCGGCCATGTCGTAGCATGCCGGTGACCAGTCCCGGAATACTGTTGCCCAACCCTTCCCTGCCCAGCCCGGATCAGGGATCACTGTGACCAGGAAGCTTTTTGGGTTTGTCAGGCTCAGTTAGGGACCCTTCTCTGTTTGACCTGTGCATCCACCCAGCCCAGCACCATCCACATGGTATAGTAATATTTTGTCTGTCTCCACAAGACTGTAAACATCTTAACAGAGACTATTTCTCTCTCCTCAGCACCCAGCACAAGGTCCCACATGCTGACAAACCATTGATAACAATTTTAATAAAGGAACATTTAAATAAAAGAAACTTAAGTCCAAAACAGATTACAGAGTCACAGAACCTTTGAGCTGAAAGGAGACTAACACCCTCTAGTCCAGCGGTTCTCAACCTGTGGGTCGCGACCCTTTTGGGGGTCAAACGACCCTTTCACAGGGGTCGCCTAAGACCATCAGAAAACACATATATAATTACATATTGTTTTTGTGATTAATCACTATGCTTTAATTATGTTCAATTTGTAACAATGAAAATACATCCTGCATATCAGATATTTACATGACGATTCATACATAACAGTAGCAACATTACAGTTATGAAGTAGCAACAAAAATAATTTTACGGTTGGGGGTCACCACACCATGAGGAACTGTATTAAAGGGTCGCGGCATTAGGAAGGTTGAGAACCACTGGTCTAGTCTTTTCATTTTACAGATAAACACAGGGACACGCCCCCCCAAAAAACAACAACAGCCTAAGCCTAGACGTTTTCCTGCCCTCTGCCGTCCCCCGCCCCCACCCCCCGACCCCTGG